TCCCTGAAGCAGCCTCATTAGCAGCCGTGGGTGTTTGTGTGGCAGATGTGCTCAGGCTGTGGGCCAGCCTTGCCCCTGGGCACTTGGACCTCCACTCGCTGATGAATTTTGGGGGGCGGTGCTGAGCCAACTCCAAGGCACACTGGTCAGTCGGCATTGGGCCAGGCAGGGCTGGAGAGTTTGTGGGGCGGGGGGAGCAGAAGGGTGAGTGTAAGCATTCAGGAGCTGAGGTGTTCTTGGCAAAAGAATTTCTGGCTGAGAGAGATTGGTTATCGTAAACCTAGGGATTCTGATGGATGATTACAGGTCTCCTGGCTTTGTTCATCCCAGCCTGTGGACAGCCGGTAGGGGTGGATGGGGCCCCCACGTCTAGGAGGGCTTTCTCCCACAGCAGAGGCTCCGAGCCATCGAGCCCTCAGGCTTCCATCTCCAGAGCAGCTGTCCTGGAGCTGATGGGGTAGGTGCTGGAAGGAGGGCCTACAGGCCAGCTCCCCAGAGCCGGAGCACCAGCAACCCTCCACCTGGCCTGACCAGCTCACTCTGCTAGGGAAGCTTGGCCCCTGCCTCAAAGCGTGCTTGGCCCCTCCAGGCCCCAGGACAAGCCTGTCTCAGCTGGCCTCCGCCGCAGGCCCCAGTACCCACCGTCTGTGTGCTCAGTAGCTTCTCTGGAGGAGGGCTTCCCCCAAGACATTTCGGGACTCTTGCCTTGTGCCTGACCACTTCCTTCCCTCGTCAGGGTGGGACTGGCACATTTCTTTCTAAAGCAAATTCCAAACAAGGGCTGATAACTCTGCTTGGCTTTTCTTTTTCCTTCCACCATGGTTTTGTGGGTTGCTGGCTATTTTAGGGAAGCCACACTCAGAGAGGAGCCTCCTCACGGTGCAGCGACTCTGGAAGCCTGGATGGCTTTTCACCCCCACCCCCTGGTCATCCATGTGTGACTGGCACAGGCCAGGCTCAGGGAAGGCCCGGGGACCAGGAAGGGGTGAGCTCTGCTGTCCGCCATACCCCTACCACGGCTTGTGGGGGGCAGTCTCTGGCCACGACCTGGGGCAGCCCACCACCCTCACACCGACCTCACCGCATTATTGAACACCTGCATCAGAGACTGCCTGAGTGGGCGGCCTGGAGCGTTGGTGCCCGAGCATCACACAAAGAGCCTGTTTGCAATGTGGACTGGGCCCCTGGGAGCCAACCACGGTGATCCATGCTTGTGACAGGGATGTATGTGGTTTCAGGACTGCGGGCCCAGGGCGGGGGTCAGGAGGTAAAGCCGCTTCGCAAGCATGGGGTCAGGGGGAGCCGGGAGAAAGAAAGAGGCACGGGGGGCAGGAAAGAAAGGTCACCCAGAGGAGGGAAGCTGAGTGGAGAAGAACACAACAGGGGGTGGGTCAGGATGGCTCCCCCCCCATGGAATGTTCTGGGCCAGGCAGAGTTCTAAGCCTTTGACAGGAGTGAACTTCAATCCTGCCAGCCACCCCTGAAACAGGTAGGTACCCCGATCTCGCAGAGGAGCGGACTGAAGCACAGTGGGTTGGAGAGCCCAGCAAAGGTTCTGTGGCCGGGAAGCAGGGCTGGATCTCACCCTCTTGCTCTGTCTCCCACAGAACCAGGGCACCCCAGGTGCCAGGACCCGCTCACACAGAATTTGTGCAAACCTCAGGCTGGGACTTCTGAGCGTGCCAAGCATGGTGCCATCCTGCCATCGAATGGTCCTCAGATGGCTTCAGTCCTCATGTGTGGGTGACAGCTTGGCTTTTGGCAGAGGAGTGTATGGCTGTGATCTTGGTTAGGGCAGAAGGCTGTGGGCGAGAGGACAGTTGTCATAACCTAGTTGGGCGAGGGTGAGACTCTAGCCCGGCGGCTGGGTTTCTGGGCACACTTCCTCTCGGTCTGAACCAGGAAGGACCTGTGGTGTGGGGCAAAGGCTCAACCCTAGTGTCAGGAAGCCCCGAGGTCTGTGCCTGGACCCATGTCCCGGGTGCTCTTCCCAAAGGGGAAGAACTTCCAGGACGTGAGTCTTTGGCAACTTCTAGGGCGATCCTGGCCCAGCCCCTGCCCTCGGGGTCTGAGGGGAAGGGGGAAACTGCTCGGAGAGGATGATACACTTCTGTCAGGAACCTGCTGAGTGCTTTGTATACTTGTTCCCTTCTACCCTCATGCCACCCTGTAAAGTGGGCAGCTTATTCCTGTCCACAGATGAGAAGGCCAAGGCACAGAGAAGCAAGGTAACTTATACACGGTCACATAGCAAGTAAACAGAGCATGGCACCACGTTGCCTTCACCACAGCGGGGCCGCACAGCCCCACTGGTGACAGGCCCCTGAGGGATACGTGCCGTGTCAGGCTGAGTGGGGGGTGGAATTCAGGCTTCAGGGCACAAGTTACCCACTGAGGGGTGGCATTCTGTACCACGAGGTTCAGAGGAGTCAAAAGCCCAGGGTCTGTGGAGGGGGGCTTCTGCTGCCCCAGAGGCCTGCCTAGACTGGGGAGCAGAAGGGCTCATCCCATAAAGAAGGACCATAAACCAGGCTCTTGATTCTGGAAGCCCTTCTCATCCTCCCACAAGAAATGCAATCTGTCACCATCCTCTCCCCTTTCTTCTTGGTCCCTTTCTGACCATCCCTTCACCCCACCAAACCCGTGCTTCCCAGCAGAGCCTGTCAGCTGGTGGATTTGAACCTGAGTACCATCCGGGACTTACCAGCCGTCTTTGCCCATCATAGGCAGTTTTTGTAGGAGTCAGGGACCTGTTGATCAGGCCCACCTGACGCTTTCGCCTCCTCCAGAGCCCACCTCTGAAGAAGGGCTAGAGCGGGGGAAGGCTGGATGGACCCCACAGTGTGCTGTTTGTCGCACACCATACTTCTTGCCTCCCACCAGGGACAGAGCACCACCGGGGACAGGAATGTGGCTGGGAAGCTGGGAGCTGGGTCTCACCCTCTTGCTCTGACCCCCACACACACAAGTTGTGCAAACCTGAGACTGGGGCTTCTGAGCGGGCAAAGCATGGTGCCGTCGTGTTGTCGAATGGTCCAGGTGGCTTCGGTCCTCGTGTGTGGGGGACAGCTTGGGTTTTGCTGGAGGAGTGTATGGCCGTGATCTTAGGGCAGAAGGCGGTGGGCAAGAGGACAATGGTCAAAACCTAGTTGGGTAAGGATTTTCAAGAGCTGACCCTTTGGTTCCTACAGCAGAACTGAAATTCTCTTACTGCCTCTGAAAGGGGAGAGACCGCTGGGAGCTCAGTTCCTCTTGGGCCCATTGTAGAGACATGGTCACCAAGCCCAAAGCTGGAGGGACCAGAGTTCAGATCCCCTCTGACTCTGAGTCTTTTGTCTCTCAGCTGTTCTTCGAGAGGGTTTTAGGAGTCGAGCCACTATGACTCTCCCCAACCTCCACCCCATATCCTCCTCTCTAAGGACCTAGCCTGGCCTCCCAGGAAGTCTGGAGCTGACTCGCCTGCATTCCCCTTGCCACGTCAGGCCTGTGAATTTCCCTTGGCTCGGCAGGAGCTCAGACTCTACAAGATGGGTCTACACCCCACAGGGGAAGACCCTTCTCACAGGTCTTACTGCATTCCCTGCTTCTTGGGACTGCCCTCAGCCACCTGGGATTCTGGTGCATTCTAGTCTCCCGCTCTCTGTGGGCAGAAAGTGCTGGGTTTAGAGCTGGCTCGGGGTGGAGGAAAGGCTGGTCATTCCTGAGCATGCTGTGGGGGCAGTGAGCTGGCCTCACAGAGACTGCCAGCTGCCCTACCCCCCACAGAGCCTTCAGGGGCCAGAGGGCGGTGGGTGGCCCGGGTCTGGTGAGGGGACGCCCTCTCCACCTCGGCTCCCCTGGGCTGGCCTGTGGATTGCTTACTTACCTGGAGAGCGTTCAAGGACAGCAAGAAAAATGAGGGACTTTCAGGGGCAGCTGTGTTTTCTGACTCAGTCATAATGCCCCTAAAAATCCTTATTGTTCTTGCAGTATGCATCAGACAGTGGCCACCAAGCCACCCCTCCTCACCCACCGGGCAGCTCTGGGACAGGAAGGGCTTCCTGGGGTCTGACTGGGACATCCTCCCCTGTCCTCCTAAAATGAGAGCGAATTATTAAAAACAATTCTGTTGGGCCAGTGCCTTGATTTGCATATATTTTTACAATTTCTTTCTTTCTTTCTTTCTTTCTTTCTTTCTTTCTTTCTTTCTTTCTTTCTTTCTTTCTTTTTTTTTTTTTTGTGGTGGCTGAGCATTGAGATAGTCCTGCACAGACTGGAACTCAGGAGAATACAGCATCTCCCCAGTTTGCATGCAGGGAAGGTTCTGGGAGCCTGGCGGCATGTGTGGGGCCCAGGGATGGGCGCCTTAGGGGGCCAGTTACATCAGGAGCGGCAGTGTTGGGCTTGCCAGGATGCTCCGCTCTCTTGGGAAGTTGGAACCGAGTAGGGGCAGGAAATCGTACTATGTTTTAAAAAACAGAGGGAGCCCAGCCCACTCCCTGAGAGCCATTTTGAAAATACGATGCTGGTGGATTCAAAGGGCTTCTCCCCGCCAACCCCTGCTGTGCCCCCACCTGGCTTATTCTTGGCTGGATGTTCTCTGTCCCAGGTACACCTCCTGGGGGCTCCTCACGTCTCAGTAGGTGCCCCCCCTTAAACATTTCAAGCCCACCCCATGGATAGGTTGGCTGAGCCAAGACTTTGTCTTGGGTGGATTTGGGGTTGCTTGCTGGGGGGCTGTCGAGAAGAAATACCAAAATTTGTGACCTGTCCCTCTCAACGCAGGAATGCCAGTTCATAAGAAGGCCCCCAGTTCCCAAAACAGAATCTGCCCCCCTATCCCTGCCGCCACCACCACCCCTAGCTGAGGCCAAGCAGGTGGCCTGCCCGTGCATGGACAGACAGGGAGGTGAACAGGCAGCAAACAGGACTCTGAGCTCCTGGGGTCCACCCCTGAGTTCCTCGCAACCTCACAGGTCAGCAAGGGAAATTAATCCTCTAGGTATTTCTTGGGTTTCCAGGTACAGACTCAACAAGCTCTGGTCACCGGAGAAGATGGCTGTTTGCAGGACCCTGACCACAAGACTATCCTTCTGGGCAGCCTGGCCCCTTGCTTCTTAGGCTCTGGTCATCTCTCCACACCAGCTGTCCCAGAGGCCATTTTAGACGGCTGGGTTTGCTCAGGAGCCTCAGCGTTCTCTGTCCAGGAGAAGGGACAGCGTCAAGGTAAAGGTTAACGTGAGGTTGGGGGCAGGGTGCAGAGTGATGTTTATGGCTGCGTGGTAAGAGGTGGATGGGGCTTTTGCAAAATGAGATTCTCACCACCTACAGTGGTTGTAGGGTGCTTGGTCATTCCTCATAGCTAACTTCAAAATCAACTGTCCCTCCCTGAGGCCCCTTTGCCCTGCCCTTCCATTCCCTGCCCCCACAAAAACCTCCATATGCTTGAGTGTGTTCCTCTTCCTTTACAACAAAAAGCTTGCCCCCCCCAAGATTTTTTTAAAAGGTCGTACATGAAAAATAAAGCTGAGTCCTATGTCCTCCCCAACTGTACTGCCTTCTACCGTAGAGAATTTCAAAATACAGAAGGCTGAAAAGGCTTATAAAAATGCCCATGCCTAGAGATAATGTCTGCTAATGAAAGAGATCCTTCCAGCACTTTCCCCTATGTGCATACACACCCTCACCCAGTTAGCAGGATTGGGGTTTTTAAAAGGCGTGAGGCTTATAATCCATTTGAGCAATGGCCCTGTGCCTTTGGGAGCCGGAGTCTCTCTTCTTTTTGCCAAGTGGGATGGGCTGATCGCCTGTAGCCAGGAAGCTCTGTGGCAGGTTATTGGAGGCACACGAGGTCTCTCTTCTAAACCAGGATTAATGAAGGTGGTGAGGACGCTGGAGCGGCAGGCTTTGTCCTGATTGATCTCCAAGTGGGCAGCTGCTCTGCTTCTAGACCCTGGTGGCCTTAAGAATCTAGGGAGCCTTTACAAACATCAGTGCCTGTTCCTCCTCCCCAGCAAGGCAGGTTGGACTTGGGTTACCAAGGATGGGGCAGGTTGCACCTAGGGACTGGTATCTGTCTGTCTGCGGTTCTTCTGTTAAGTAGCCAAAGAACTGTCCGGCTCCATGGCCACACGTTAGAGCTGGAAGATTCTTGTGGCTCTGCCTTCAGGGTCTGATCAAGGAGGTGTGACCAGTAGGCAGCACTTTCTCTGTGCTCAGAGGCCTCTTCTGATCCTCATCGAGTAGCACAGAGGCTCACCAGAAGACGCAGCTGGGATGGGGCAGAGCTGGGGTCAGAGCTATAGTTCCGGACTCCCGAGGCGGGTGGTTTCAGTGATAATTACTGATAACGAGCATATGGTCCTAACAGGCGTAGCATGATGCTTACTAATACTTAAGCATTGGGTCGGATGCTACTGTCTCACGGAGGAGGTAGGTGTCTGCACTCCAGGGAGGTTGGCTTCCTGTCCTCAGGTCTTCCTGATGGGAGTGTGCCCCTGGCCAGCCAGGACCCACAGCTGCCGCCATGCAAGCTGCCGTGTGGCCTGGGATCCCAGCTCTGGGCAGGGCAAGACTGAATCCCATTTTCAGAACATACCAGAGGCGTGGCCAAGGTGGAGCAGCTGGGGGGTGAGGCAGAGGCCCCCAGTTCCCTGCTCCTTGCCTGGACAGGGGTGTCTAGGAAGGGGCCGAGCCTACATGGGGCTTGCTTATCTGGACCCTGCTCTGAGCTGGCAGCCCTCAGGGTCAGGACCCCTGCTAGGGGGGTGCCTGAGTCTCCAGAAGGCTGTCCCTGCCCCTCCCTCCTTCCTGCAGAGCTAGTCTCCAGGAGCCTGGCCAGAGGGCCACCTGGGCAGGCTGCCAGTGTGGGGAAGTCATGGGCAGGCACACTGTGAGCTCCAGGAAGCTGTCGGCTGTTCCTGGACCCGTCTGCAGAGCTGGAGGGCCAGCCTGCCTCAAACATGATGGGTGCGGCCAGGAGCTGAGAACACAGCTTTCCCAGAGCCCAGCAGCTCTGGGTCAGGCCCACGGGTTTTCTTGGGCAATGAGGACCTGAGCCTTGGTCACCTCTTCCCTTGTTGGCCTTGGCTCTCTCCTCCCCAGTCAGGCTCTCCCCCTGCCCCCCACCAGCTGTTCTGCAGCAGACCACGCTCTTGGCAATGACATCCATTTAACCTGCTTCCCAGAAAACAGGATGGTTGGGCAGACAGACTCAGCCAGCACCTTGGTGGGAAACAGGGCAGTGGACCTCAGCTCAGGCTTTCCTTGCCCAGGCTTCTTGGGGGACTGGGTTGGGAGATGGCCCTAAGCAGCCTTGGCTTACCTGGGTCAGAAATAACCTTAGTTCAACTCACAGCCTCGAACGATCAGGCTGAGGCCGGAGCTTTGAGCTCCTGGAGCTGGGGAGTGCCAGGGGGTGGGGGGATGGGAGTGGGGTAGTGGGGATAGTCCTTTGCCCTGGAATCTGATCGGGGGCAGCCGTTTACCTCGGGGTCCTGGGTAAAGCCCCCCACTACTGAGTCTGTTGCCTCATTTGGTCAATGGGCATAACAGGGCCCTGTAAACATGTGTCTGAGTGCAAATACGAAGTCGTTGCTCCCTTTCTCACCCCTTCTAGGAGGACTCCAGCAGAGAACCCTGGGAGGTGTCTAGCATGGAGAAGATGCTCTCTTAATGTAGGTGCCGTGCTCAGGAAGTGAGGTTTGATCTCAGTGTGTTGGATTGGTGCCTTCTGTCCTTAGCTCCACAGAGATGACCTTTCCTTCCTCTTCCTCTTCCTCTTCCTCTCTGGCTCTCCTGCCCTGGCTGGACCCTGTAGGGAGGATGGCTCTGGCTTGAGATGCTGCGGTTCCTCTCAGGTCAGGCCCACGGAGACCCAGAGCCCATGGAGGCCTCCTTCCCCTCCTTGACGTTCATCCTGCAAGGCCAGACGCCAACTCCAAGGCGTTCCCTCTGGGCCTGGGCCAGAGAAGCTGTGGCAGAGCTCCTCCTCCTCGCTGGGTGCAGACAGCCCAGCACAGGCAGGAAGGGCCTTCTGTTTGCCATGGCTGGTGGGGAAGAGATTAGTGCTCGCTTTCTGTTTTGACTCTCGTATCGAACTAACAGGCAGGCTGTAACGTCACAGAAAAGCACGCTTGAGCCTTGAATGAGCCTTTCCTAATGCCTGGCCCCTGTAGGGGTGGCTGGAGGTAGGAATGGGCAGTACCACCACCACCTGGGAATGTGGTAAAATGCGACGGCCATCTGTTGGCTTTCCCTACCCAGCGTCTACATCTCTTTCTCCTGATAAATCCCTCTTCCCCTTCCCAGGATCACCTCTCACCCCCTTCAGCTTTAGAGGCAGGCATGGATCCCAGGATGGACACGGAGACTGCCCCTTGGGGGTTTTGCAGCAACTATGGGGAAAGAGGCATTTGTTGTTTGTGCAACCTGAGCCAGGTTGATGGAATGGCTGGTCACCATCCTGTTCTCTACTTGAGGTTGAAGCCAACAAAGAAGAAAAAGCTCAGAGATGGAGAGAATAGGCTGTCTGGATGTCAGTGAGCCCCTGGATCCAGCCATGCCTGAAGCTAACCACACCTCTGGATTAACCTGATTATATGAGCCAATGCATGTCTCTTGCTCAAATCATCCTGAGTTGGGTTTCTGTCTTAGAAAGGGTCCTGATAAATCAGTTCTGAGGTATACTTGACATGCCATAAAACCTACCCATTTTGTTTACCGCCATTGAGATAGAGAACATTTCAAGCTCTGGGACCACCCCTGATCTGCCTTGGTTGTGGAGATTGATTTTGTCTTTTCTAGAATTTCCTATAAATATGATCGTTTAGTGTGTACTCTTTTGCGTCTGGCTTCATTCCGCATGTCTTTGAGATTCACCCATGCTGTGTGCCTTAGTAGTTCATGCCTTACTTCTGAGAAGCCTTCCACCGTGGGGATGTATGAGTTTGTGCAGCCATTTATAAGATGGTGGATAGTCAGGCTGTTCCCAGATTGTGACTGTTATGAATAAAACTGTTTTGAACACTGAACCCAGGTCTTTGTGTAGGCATACGTTTCCATTTTTGTGCCTAGACATCAGTCTCACTTCACAGTTGAGGAGGCCAAGGGTCGGGTAGAATGACTTGTCCAAGGTCACACGGCTGAGGGCTCCTGTGGCTTGCACTGGGAACAGGGCAAGGAGGGCAGTGATGCATCTGGGTGCGCAGGTGTCCTTTAAGAAACGACCTCAGACTGCTTGGGGAGGGGGCGTGTGGAATCACTGCTCAAGAACATCATTGCTGTCATTGCCAGTTGGGATGGTCAGAATGAGTTGTAGCCATGTTGTCTTTATCTTTTCATATCATTTGTTTCCCCTGTGGATTCCGCTGTGTGAGATGATACCTACTAAACAGACTGCATTCGAGAAGCCAGAATCAACTTCCCCAATTATCTGAGCTGATAATCACCCAACAAGCTTGTATGAAGATTGGAGTTGAAAGGCACCAGCCCAGACTGGAGACCGGCTTTTTCTTCTCCTGGTTAGGACCAACAAATCACGAACCCATCCCCGTAGGGGAGGAGGTCAAGTTGGTAAGCCCTGATTTAGTCCAGCCTCTCCTCTCCCAGGTGCTTAGCCAGATCTCTCCCTCCTGGGCTTCTCTCTGCTGAGGTCAGCCCTTGGAGGTCAAGTGTGCATGTTTTGAACTCCACAAGGTTCAGCATCCTAGGGACTCTCAGTCAGCCCTGGGTCCAGCTGTGCCAAAGCCAGATGCACCTCTGGGCCTTCCTCTCCTTTATTGAGCCCCGTACAACTGAAGGAGTACTGGCTCCTATAGCTTAGCTGGGGCTGCACCCTTTGGTGAAGCTTTCCCCAAGTTCTCTGGGCAAAATCAACACACAGCCCGTCCAGTTCACTTCCTGGGGTGGGGTACTGGTGGTGTGGACACTGCTAAGTGCTTCATGTGCATTATCTCCAATCTCTCAACAACCCTAGGGGAGACACTATTATCCACATTTTACTGTGGGGGAAACTGAGGCACGGAGACCTAGGGGTATCATACGCAGAATGCTGGTGCATTGTATGCATTGCATGTGCCTCTACAGAGTCTGTCTGCTCCCTTGCCCACCAGACCCCTGGCTGCGGCTGTTACACACTGAGCTGCCCAGCTGCCTCCCCACTGGCTGACCCACCCAGGGCAAGGGGTCTGGCTCCCGCATGGCCAGCAAAGGGGCTAGAGAGCACACTCCTGGAGCATGGAGGGAGTTCATTCTTAGGAACGTGCTCTGAGCAGTAGGAGGTGGGAGGACAGACCCCTCTCCCTCCTTCCCTCCCTCTGACTATTTGAGGCACGTTTCCCATGTGTGGTCTGGCGTAAAGCAGGGTCCAGCGTAAAGCAGGGACTGTGTGGTTCTCATCACCTCCTGTCGCTTCCCCTCCTCCCCTCTGATCCCATCCCCTCTTTTTTCCCCTCCCTCTTGCTGCCCTGCAGTTCCCTCTGGAAGTCAGCAGTACTCAGTCCCTAGCCAAAGGCTCTGTTTTCTGGGGAGCTCAGGGGGTGTGGCCCCAGGGTCTAAATGGGGCAGGCCGCAGAGAATGTGGGACAAGAGAAAGATGCGTTACAGCATTCCCTGGGGGATGGGGAGTAGGTGGGGAGTCAGGGGGTAGTGGTAGGGGCCAGGGACATTGCCAAATTCATCAGAGCATTCCCCTTTCTCTCCCCCATGCCCTCTACAACCTATTCACTAGGTTTTATCCATCAAATCCTGTCTGACCCACCCCCCGTATTCCAGAGCCCCACTAACCTCTGTCCAGGAGAGTCGAGTCTGTGCTCCCTGATGCCCTACTTGCTAGTAGGTGATGCTTCGAGGTCCTCAGCCTCTCTGAGCCACTTTCCCCTTCTGTAAAATGGGGACAAGAATGGTTTTACCACATAGGACTGCTGAGCGGCTTAACTGACGCTTGGTTTTGTGCCTGGCACGTAGTAGGTGTAGATGCCCTTGTGGATGCTCCCTGTCCAATGTCACCTCTTCCAAGTCCAGCCCTGCTCTCTCAAAAAGGCCTCTCCTCCATTCTCAGTCCCTATTGAGTCTACAGGGCTGTCCCCCACCCCAGTCCCATATCTGTCCCCAGACCCATGCCAATCAGCACATCCCAATACTGACCTGACCTCAAGGATCAGCTCACGTCTGGGAATGAGACCCAAGTCGGAGTGGTCCTTTGTCACAGTGTCCTGGAGTTTTCTGGAACAGTAAGGGAAGAGGTGCTTGCTCTTTGCTGAGATCATTAGCCTGGAGCTATCAAAGGCCATTTTTACTATGTGGCCATTAGAGAATGAGGTCAGAAGGCAGCAGAGCCAAAAGGTGGAGCAGGACACCAAATGTTGAGGATGTCTCTGGAGCTCCTGGATCCAGGCGTGCCAGAAGCTAGTTAACCCCTGGAATTTTTAGGAATTAGCACACAGACGAAATTTCTCTCTCTCTCTCCCCACATCTCCCCCCCCTTTTTTTTTCTTTTTTTTTTTTTTTGCTTAAGCCAGTTCAGGTTGAGTTTCTGTGACTTAAAACTGAAGTGGTCTGGGCTGATGCAGTAAGTTCTGGGTATAATTGCTGCTGTTACTGCAGTTAATATTATAAACGGGCGCCTGGGTGGCTCAGCGGGTTAAGCCTCTGCCTTCGGCTCAGGTCATGGTCCCAGGGTCCTGGGATCGAGCCCCGCATCGGGCTCTCTGCTCCGTGGGGAGCCTGCTTCCCCCTCTCTCTCTGCCTTCCTCTCTGCCTACTTGTGATCTCTGTCTGTCAAATAAATAAAATCTTTAAAAAATACATTATTATTATAAATGCATCACCAGGATGATGCAGGCATGGGGATGCCTAGGCCAGGTTTCCCCAGGGCCCATTGCTGCTCTGCTGCTCTCCACGCATCATACCCTGGATTTTAGCTGCCTGGCCATGGGCTGTATCCCAGGTAAATGGTGTCTGCCACAGGGTAGGTGGGCTAATAGACACCTGTTGCTTGAAAAAAACGAAGTCGGCCCATTGCCCACTGCTGCCTCTATTGTGCCCTGCCTTCCAACCCCCATGCCAGGTACACATTTTGCCCTCTCTGCTTGTCCTTGGCCACCGTCTGAACCCACTGTGGTGTCTGCCAGGAGACCATCTTGGCAACTGAGCTGTTTTCAGTGTCCTCCTGAGGGCCTCATTCATCCCTTTACCGGCTCAGCTAGTGTTTAAAAAAAAAAAAAAACAACCTATCAGAAGTGTCCATTATAGATTCCTATCTCACCTGCTCACGAAAATTAACTTAAAATGCTTTAAGGACCTCACTCTAAGACCAGAAGCCATGAAATGCCTGGAAGAAAACATAGGGAAGAAGCTCCTTGACGTGAGTCTTGGCAATGATTTTTTGGATATTAACACCTAGAGCACCAGCAACAAAATAAAAAATGAACAAGCAGGATTACATCAAAGCAAAAAGCTGCTGGGTAGCAAAAGAATTCATCCACAAGGTGGAAAGCCAACCTACAGAATGGAAAAAATATTTGCAAATCATATCTGATCGGGGGTTACTATCCAAAATATATAAAGAATGCATGCACCTCGAGGGTAAAAAGTCAGGGAGTTTAATTTAAAAAGAAGCAGGGGCTCCTGGGTGGCTCGGTTGGTGAAGCATCTGCCAGCTCAGGTTGTGATCTCGGGGTCCTGGGATCGAGTCCCGCATCAGGCTCCCTGCTTAACCCTCTGCTCCTCCCTCTGCTTGTTCTCTCTCTCAAATAAATAAAGTCTTCAAAATATAAAAATAGGCAAAGGACCCAAAGAGACATTTTTCCAGAGAAGACATACAGATGGTCAACAGGTACATGAACGGTGCTGAACATCACTCCTCATCAGGGAAATGCAAATCAAAACCACAATTAGAAGGGCACCTGAGTGGCTCAGTGGGTTAAGCCTCTGCCTTCGGCTCAGGTCATGATCTCAGAGTCCTGGGATCTAGCCCCACATCGGGCTCCCTGCTCAGCGGAGAGCCTGCTTCCCCCTCTCTCTCTGCTTGCCTCTCTGCCTACTTGTGATCTTGATCTCTCTCTCTGTCAAATAAATAAATAAAATTTAAAAACAAAACAAAAATCACAATTAGATAACAGCCTCACAAGCGGTAACGGATGTTGATGAGGATGTGGGAAAGGTGGATTGTAACTTGACGCAGCCACTGTGGAGAACAGGATGGAGGCTCTTGGAAAGATTGAAAAGAGAAATACCATAGGATCCAGTCATTTCACCACTGGGCATTTACCCAAACAAGACAAAAACTAATTCAAAAGATCTGTGCACCCCTGTGTTCACTGGAATATTATTTACAGTAGCCAAGGTGTGGAAGCAACCAAAGTGTTGGTCAATAGATGAAGGGGTGAGGAACGCATGGTGTATATACACGATGGAACATT